TCTGTTCCCTTCTTTCCTCTTGCAGAAATAATTTCATTCAATTTCTTCATGACAGCTTCATGGTTTACTTCTGTGTCCTTCGCAAACATTTTGGGTGCTTCCTGAAATAAAATATGGATCAAATTAGCCATTTGAGAATGAAATTTTACCTGAGAATTCCATGATATGACCAGACTGAATATTTTTTTAAAATCAGGGTTTACAAGTTTCATTTTTTTCATATACATGTATTAGGGTACAATAATTTCACATACTTACATAATACTTCACAAATCTGAGAAAATTTCTGACCTTGATCATGGGTGCCCCCTTGGTGACCTCTTCCCATTCGCCTCCTTCATCTTCTTCCTTCTTTCTCCTGACTTTTTTCTCTTTCTTGTCTTTTTTCTCTTTCTTGTCCTCTCCTGGTTGCCTAAATAAAAGCAGTCGTCAACTTGATCAGTCTATCTCAAATGTCTAAACATGGCCACAGATTATCAAAAGCAACTTTCTTCTCCTGTATTTTACAGTTCAATAGAGTACCTATGCATTTTAATTCAAAGATATTGATTCAGTAAAGTTTGTAAGGAAACTGGTTACCATGAATTTCAATTTTTAGTTATTTGGAATAACTTGAAATTTCATGGTCAATCTTTAATGATCTTTGGCAAAAATTCTAACTAAAAAGAATTCTACTCTATGGTACTTCATAAGAAAATGAAAATTATTCCCAACTATCATATTTCTGAAATCTTGTGAACAAAAAATAATGATTGTACATACATGTACATGTGCAAGTGACACAGGTAACTATTTCACAAGCACAATAAATTATAGAACTTCTGACTTACTTCTTCAAGAACATGGCTGCTGTGTATACTGTTGTGCCTGGCCCCTCTCCACCATCACTCTCTGAGCTGGAGCTGTCAGAACTCATATCCCACTCGCTATCATCATCATCTTCATCATCATCATAAGCCATCTAAATCAATATGAAATTAATGAAGTGTAAAGACTACTGCATCCCAGAAATAGTTGTTGGCAGAGCTGGAGTTGCTACATGTAATTATTTCATTTAAAGACAGTCTCATCATATCCACAAGTGTGTCTCGTTTCGTGTTTTCCCTCAAACTATGTTAGTGTTTTACTTGCTCAGGGCAACAAACACTTGCAGTATTAATCTCTTGAAACTTGCAAAATTTTTCAGAGGTTGGATTACAGTAGCTTGTAGTTTTAGCCCTCTTCTGCATACCTTCTTAGCAGCCTTGGTGTCCTCTTTGGTCCTTGATTTGCTGAAGTCCTCTTGGATCTCCATCTCAAATTCTTCCTCCTCAGAATCTAAATAGAATATTTCATTGATAAAGCCTCTCAAAAAAGAACCCCCATTTTGCAAAAACTGTACAATTTGTGGTGAGTGGTTGTTTAGCAAAAAGAATTCAGTATCTGAATATTAAATGTCATAAAAAAAATTTAGTTTATGTGAAAAAAACACAAGTGCAGCATCTCACCTGCAGCTTCTTCCTCTTCCCCTTCATCTGGGTTCTGTCAACAGACATAAAACAAAACTAGACAATATTCCTGCTTTCATTATCTTAAACTGAAATTATAACTGAGATTTTAAGTGTTACAGGAGAAAGCCCACAATCTTCACCTCTCTGTAGGATGTAATATCAGATTCAAAGTCTCTGTTGTACTTCTTCAGTTTCTGTCTGAGCGTAGTCAGACCTTTGGCGTTGTTTTTACTCATCTGTTTTCTACCCTCTCTGTCCTCCCAACACTGCAGTGAAACAAAAGGCAAATTATACTGAAAATACAGTACTACATGTAGTAAGTTCATAATATATTTATGGTAGGTAATCTTTTTTTTTTTAAAAAACCTACATTCATTTCATTCAATCATAGCCCTTTTTCTGTAAACTTGTATTTCATTTTATAACATAAAATAAAATCCTACATCCATTTTTTTCAATCACAGCATTTCTCTGTAAAGTTACATTTTATTCTTCATCCTTAATATATCTTTTTACTTGATTTTAAATTGTAATGCATTGCAACTCATGCTGGAGTTTAAATAGGTTGACGACAGTGAAACCTAGATATGATGTTTACAGTAAAGTTTTATTTACCTTAGTGTTCTGGAACGTAAAGGACTTAAACTAAGAACATAAACATCTGTAGACATACCTCGGCAACAAAGTCCTCTAGTTCCACCAGACACCTCATGAAGAAGCGTGGGATCTGGTTTTCTTTCTCTATGACTTTCTTTGCTTTCTCATACGCCTTTCCTAATTCCTCAAAATCTTCATTAAAAAAAGAAACAGAGTGTTTTATACATGTATACAAAAAAGTCCTCTCTGTTAAGGAACAAAAACATTTAGGCAGTCAGTAAGAAATAAACCTCAAGGAATTTAACCTCATTCCAGATTTTAAGGGATTTTTAGTTAGCTGACTAAACCTGTGTATGAGTCCTGGATGATAATCACCTTCTTTTTACTTGTATTAAATAATGGTTGCTTTACAGTTCAACATTATATACATTTGTTTTCAATGTTAAACAGAATAAAATGATCAAACTAAAACTTTTAATCACAATTTCTGTCCAAGCTAGTCAGAAATAAACAAAATTCAAAGATGGTTTCTATCATAAAAAACTTCCAAGACTTTCAAGCTCTCTAAATATTTTCCACTGACATTTAAAGACAAGCTGAAAATTTACAGATTTTTAATGGCCATTTCAATCCATGAAGATGCACAAATAATACTGTCACTCAAATCAGTTTCAGCTTTGAAATGACTTGTAGATAAGATAACACATTGCAGGAAGGTGCTTTTTTAAATAATCAATAAAATAACAATTCCATTTCAATTCAAAAAAAACGTTCTTAAGAGGAATCCTACAATTACAAAAATGAAAAAAAAGTGAGCAAGCCCACATACCCCTGGCACACTTCCACATTGCTTGACGTGCTACAAATAATGTATGGCAATGCTATGCATACAAATAAAGTAATATCCCCCCACCCCACCCCAACAACCACCACTCATCCAAGAAACAAATACCGTTAAGAATTTCCTGTGAATATGCACATCTACACAGTATACAATATTAACTACAAAGTTACATAAAATTCTGTTGAGGGTTTTCAGAGAAGTTGTGCTGACAAACTGTTTCAGAATAACTCCCAGTAAAAAAAAATGAATAAGAATTTTTTTTCAAATATGCATATCTACACATTATGTCCTTATTTACTACAAAGTTTCAAGAAATTCTGTAAAGCCTTAAGGGATTTCAGAGGAGCTGTCCTGACAAAAAAGACTGCTCGACAGAGCCAAACATCTAGGTTCGAAAGGGGCATAACTCCCAGAAAAGAAAATGAATCAGAATTTCCTTTGAATATGCATATCCCCACACCATGTCCTTATTATCTAAAAAGTTTCACACATTCCATCCAGTCGTTTAAGAGGCATTGTGCTTACAGAACAGGACTGACAAACTGACTGATGGATGAGGCAAAAACATTACACTCTCAGCAATTTGTTGCATGGGGTATAAATATCTCATCATTGCTCTGAAAACCTCAATCCTACCTGTTAGCACACTAGCCATATCTTTGATTTTCTTATGATTTCCCATTTTCTTGATTATTTCTCTTAATTCATCAAATCTGTAAAACAAAACCAAAACAGGTCTAGCATCTGTTTATAGTGAACAACTAATATTATCAAATCTTATTTCTTTTCTTTTCAACTACAAAATATATTTTACCTTTTATCTTTAGCACTTCGTACAATACGTTTAGGCTCATCTTCCTCATCACTGAATGCATAAGCACTATAAAATAAAACAAAACTTATGAGGAGAAATTTAAAAGACTGTGTCATTAAAGAAAATATCTAATGCCTCAAGTAAAACAAAAGGCACAAGTTAAAATGAACCCATATTTATATATATTACACTGCTTTGTTCAAAATTAGAACTCTACTTGTAGGATTTCAATGGATATCATAATTTAAAACAGCCCACTTTGGCAATACATACACAGGTCTTGGTGCAGTGGTTCCTGCACGAGGAACATTAATCTCATCATCTGATGATGAACTCTCCGACTCGGAGTCAGAACCTTTAAAAAATCGGGACATCTTCCTCTTTATATCTGAAAACAAATATGTATGGCAGTAAACCAAATTACTTGAATGGTTTTTTTTTTCAATATTTTTCTCTGTCACAGGAAGAAGTAAAAATTCCTTAAACAAGTAAACAATATAAAACATTAAGAACAATGGAAAACAAAGGATTTTGGTACAGGACTGATGAACAGAAGTAACAAAACCAGGATCGTAAGTATTCATAAGTGTCATTATACGCGAGTATATGTAACGTTAACTTTGTTGTGACGTCATAATACCTTACGTTACGCTTCTATAGATAACAACAAGTCTCAAATATACCACTATACGATTAAGACGTCTTTTATTTCATTCCACAACAATAAGAAATGTTTACTCTTATCCACATCTTGGCAAGGCTGCACATGGTGTAGCCACACAATATGGTCATACATGTGGTTCTGAATTTTTGTCTTTAATTCACAACTATTATGATAAAGGTCAATACACAATAAATAATTAAATAATTATAAAGCATTAATATATGTTAATAGTGTTATCAACTATGATTTCTTGCTTGCTACCATAAATAATGGTCGACATAGGAAATTCGGTCTATTCTTTCGCCATACTGCGTGAGAAAATGTTTTCATATTTTTGTCACTTGGACTTTACTACTTACATTTACGTTAGGCAGAACAAACACGTCTTATTCAACATGTTTACTAACAAATATAAAAGTATTCTTACCTATAAATAAGACTAAATTCTATTTAACATGAGGAAAAGAGAACCGACAATGTGGGCAACGTGACGTCACTCCCTTAGGATAAAATCAAAGGTATGCCGATGGTACATAGATTTTTTTTTTTTCGGATGAGTTCCGAATGCAACAACTTGAACAAGGCATGAAAGATGGAATTAGTTGATTCCAATGGCGATAAAGAGAAATCCGAATCCAAATCATCGAATGTTAAAGTTGTAATTGCGAATAAAAACAAGAAAGTGTTTACAGGTAAACTGAACATTTTGAAAAAAATGCTCTGAAATATCAAATAAATGTATTACAAGTGGAACACGTTCTGCCAGTATGATTTGTCACTTTCATACTGTTGAGAAATTGAATTTTCAATACAAATCAATTCACTGTATCTGTCTGATGTTTTAAAAATAGTATTGAAAGTTGTGGATTGGGTTCCACTTCAAGATATATCAATAATAGATGAGTAATCACTGTCTGCATGTCTATCTGTGTAGGCTGTCCATCTGTCAACATTGTGATGATAACTTGATTACTGATGCTACATTAGTTATTGATAGTCAAAACAACACTTAGGCTGCATTCAAAATCGTTAATTTAATGATCTCAGTCAAATTCAAGTCAAAGCCAAAGTGTATGTGTAAACTGTAAATACTTGTAAATGCTAAATTCGTTTAATAACACCCCCATTTACATTGTATTTCAGGCGGTGTTATAGCATCATTGTTCATGCTATTAAGGAAAAGACAGTAAATTTTATATTTTGTCAAAGGTCAAGATATATTTGATTTGTGATGATCATACATAGTTTGGCTAATCACATGTAATAAATGTATTTAAAATTATTATATTTACCAATATAAATATAGAATAATTTTTTTGATTGGTTCTTTTGAACAAAACTTAAAGGTCAAGATCAAATTTTCAAGACTCTTAATATATGGCATAATATACAAGTATTAATTGATAGGTTATGCAATAACTAAAAATGTCAAGTACATCTCTAGTTTTAAAAGGTCCATTTTTACCATTTTTATCAAACTTTAATGTTAATCGCATACTGTAGGCCCCTCTGTGACTTTGTAAGTGTTTAGGTTAATTTAGTTTCCATACAAAAAATCTGCAACACATCAAGTGGTCAAAATATTTAAGAATAAAAATTATAATGAATTGAGTATTTAAAAAAATTATTTATTTTTTTTTTTACATCGTAGGAATAAAGAGAGCTGCTCATCAGATTCCTGAGGAAATTCTCAATAATCCCAAACTTCAGCATGCGGTCAAGCAGGTTGATAAAATTTAAGAAATCAATACTGTAACATAATATGTTTACATTCAGTTTTGTACACTTAATTTAAGGCAGTACAGTGAAGAAAAGAAAAGATCCATGTCTTTAAAAATGTTTTTGAAATTTTTTTAAAAAGGTAAAAATTTGAAAAATAAGGCACAGGATTTTCATGTATCTCTTAATATCTGATTAATCCAATTCCTTTGTCCTGATATCAAGATCTCTTTAAGTATCTTTGCATAAAAATATTTTGGGCCCCCTTTCACATTCCACCTAGTAGACATGCTTTATAAGAAAGTAGAGCTGAGATTTTTATCTCAGTATGGAATTTTCTAAATCCTGTTAAATATTAGACTACAGCTAATATGTAAATGCCTGCTTATTACAAAGTCATACTTTTCATGGGGTATTAAAGAGTAATCATGAATATTAAACTGGATGTAACAAATTTTATACATTATAAAGCAATCACTGCTCTCTATAGCAGTTCAATGTTACAATATGTCTTACTTAATTTTGTGATTAATGTGCATGGTCATTTATACTTTTAGCTACCTGATAATTATAATTTTGAGATATATAAGACAGTATGGAAGATACAATCAACAGGTGCCAAGAGAGGTAAGACAGTTATAAACTTTCCTTCATCATTAATTTATTCCAGTACAATCATTTTTTTTTAAAAAGTCTACATTTTTTTCTTGGTTTTTCACAGTTGCACTACAGTTTCCAGAGGGATTGTTAATGTTTGCCTGCACAATAGCAGATATAATAGAAGAGTGAGTTCACTTACTGGACATGTGCACTGTAGTTTTTGTACATACCATTTTGTGTGAGAAGAGGTCAAATAATGCACATATAGTGTAATTTTTCATTAGACATTATGTAAAAATCAGTTGTTTGAAAAAATTGAATTTGAGCTAGCCTAATTGATGGATGAATATCTTCAGTTATTGTCTTGATTGGTTTATTCTAGATTTACTGAGGCAGACACAGTAATCATGGGAGATGTGACCTATGGAGCTTGCTGTGTGGACGACTTCACTGCAAGAGCTCTCGGTGCTGAGCTAATGATTCATTACGGACACAGCTGTCTTGGTATAAAATTTCAAGCAAGATATTTATGCCCCCTTCGAAGAAGGGAGGGCATATATTGCTTTGCTGCTGTGTGCCGGTAGGTCAGTCTGTCGGTCCACCAACAGTTTCCGTTCATTTTCTTTGCAGAGGTTGCATATACTGAAATGAAATTTGGTATACAGATTTATCATAAAAATATCTAGGTCAAGTTTTGTTTTGGGTACGATTGAGCAATTTTTGACAGAGTTATGCCCCTTGGACTTAGAAAAATTCCAATTATTTGCAGTTTTCGTTCATTTTCTTTGCAGAGCTTGCACATACTGAAATGAAATTTAGTATACATATTTATCATAAGAATATCTAGGTCAAGTTCTGTTTTGATATGATTGAGCAATTTTTGACAGAGTTATGCCCCTTGGACTTGAAAAATTCCAATTATTTGCAGTTTCTGTTCATTTTCTTGGCAGAGGTTGCACATACTGAAATGAAATTTGGTATACAGATTTATCATAAGAATATCTAGATCAAGTTCTGTTTTGGGTATGATCCAGCAATTTTTGACAGAGTTATGACCCTTGGGCTTAGAAGCATTCCAATTATTTGCAGTTTCCGTTTATTTTCTTCGCAGAGGTTGCACACACTGAAATGAAATTTGGTATACATATTTATCATAAAAATATCTAGGTCAAGTTCTGTTTTGGGTACAATCGAGCAATTTTGGACAGAATTATGCCCCCATGGACTTAGAAAAATTCCAATTATTTGGGGGGGGGGGGGCATAAGTGTTTCACAAACATCTCCTGTTTTATATACAGTTGAACATCGATGTCCTGAATACCATGATATGTCAAAATGAGTTGTAAGTCCCAACCACTCTTTTTATATCTATTTTTAACCACAATTTCTTTAACCTTTGGATATCTCAAAAAAAATTCTTGGTCCCATTGAGGTCAAGATAAAAAAAATTGTCTCTTGTATTACAGTGGATTGTGCAGAACAGAAAACCATACACTTTGTAAAGAAAGATCTGTAATTACTGTAAACACAATGTAGTGGTAGATCTGTAATTACTGTAAACACAATATAGTGGTAGATCCGTAATTACTGTAAACACAATGTAATGGTAGATCTGTAATTACTGCAAACACAGTGTAGTGGTAGATCTGTAATTACTTTAAACACAGTGTAGTGGTAAATCTGTGATTACTGTAAACACAATGTAATAGTAGATCTGTAATTACTGTAAACACAGTGTAGTGGTTGATCTGTAATTACTGTAAACACAATATAGTGGTAGATCTGTAATTACAGTAAACACAATGTAATGGTAGATCTGTAATTACTGTAAACACAGTGTAGTGGTAGATCTGTAATTACTGTAAACACAGTGTGGTGGTAGATCTGTAATTACTGTAAACACATTGTAGTGGTAGATCTGTAATTACTGTAAACACAATGTAGTAGTTGTCATTATTTAGCACCTTTCACACCGCTTCTTGTTTTCTAATTCAAATTCTGTAGATCACCGGATTTTCGTGACACCTTATTTTCATGAGAAAGTTATTTGGTATATAAAAGAGAGACAGTATTAAAAAATTTTCTTCATTTCTTCATTGTTATATATTCAAATTTTTAGTAATACAAATATGTGAAAATGAAATTTTCGCAAGCAGATGGTCTTGCGTAATGATGTGAAAATAAAGTTCACACAAATAAGTGATTTAATACAGTACTTGCTAATATATAATTAATACAAATGTATATAGAAGCTTGGCTCAAAATGTGCTGAGTTTTGTTTACACTATTCAGTTGATGAACAGGATTGAGCTAAATTTTGAGTCCACTACTTTATTTAGTTTACAGTAATTAAGTTGCAGTACATGAAGTGACTTAAGATGACTTGAACACTATATATGTACACTTGTGTATTCGACAGTGCCCATAGACCAGACAGGAGGGATCCAGATGTTGTATGTGTTTGTGGACATTAAGATTGATACCATGCATTTTCTGGACACAATCCGACACAACTTCCCTTCTGGCTCTTCCATAGCATTAGTGTGTACCATACAATTTGTGGCTGCCCTGCAGGTACATGTAATTCCAAATATTTATTCACTGAATATGCATATACATTTTTAGCTCACCTGAGCCGAAGGCTCAAGTGAGCTTTTCTGATCACATTTTGTCTGTAGTCCGTCTGTCTGTTCGTCTGTCTGTCTGTCCGTCTGTAAACTTTTCACATTTTCAACTTCTTCTCAAGAACCACTGGGCCAATTTCAACCAAACTTGCCACAAAGTATCCTTGGGTGAAGGGGATTCAAGTTTGTTCAAATGAAGGTCCACGCCATCTTTCAAGGGGAGATAATAAAGAATTAGTGAAAAATTAATAGCATCCTTTAAAAATCTTCTTCTCAAGAACCACAAAGCCAGGGAAATTGAAACTCATGTGGAAGCATCCTCAGGTAGTGTAGATTCAAGTTTGTTCAAATCATGACCCCAGGGGGTAGGGCGGGGCCACAATGGAGGATCAAAGTTTTATGTAGAAATATATAGGAAAAACCTTTAAAAATCTTCTTCTCAAGAACAGCAAAGCCATGATGAGTCATATTTATATGGAAGCATTCCTCAGGTAGTGGAGATTCAAGTTTGTTCAAATCATGACCCCCGGGGGTAGGGCGGGGCCACAATGGAGGATCAAAGTTTTACATAGAAATATATAGGAAAAACCTTTAAAAATCTTCTTCTCAAGAACAGCAAAGCCATGATGAGTCATATTTATATGGAAG